AAAACGGACAGCGGAATCGGATTTGGAACGCCGAAAAATGTTAGGATAGGTATACTCGGTCGAAGTCAAAGGTCGTTTAATGCCCGGTCAAAGTCGGTCAAAGTTTTGGTCAACAGTGGTCAACGCCGGTCAACGGTCAACGGGTCGGGTCGGGTTGTGACCGGTCAAAATAGTTCCAAACCCGGTCAAACCGGTCACTTTTTCCTTCCCCACACGCAGTGGCGGCGCGTGGGGGCGCGTGAACAGTGATAAAATCCTGGAAAAATTTCTAAAAATTATTTTGAGCAATTTCGAGATACTTACAAAGCTCGGTTTACAATTTTGAACGGCAGAGAGCTCGATTTCAACAAATCGGAAACTTTGACCGCTTCACCTCCTCACGCGCCGCCTTCAACGGAGACCAAGGATGACACCGGCGAACTCGGAACGATACAAAGAACACGATGGTGTGGGAGGTGTCGTAAACGGATGACCCGATCGTCGTGAATCGATGAAAAACCAACTAAAACCGAGTTATTACCGACGATACTTCTGACTGAAATTAACGACGAACGGAGACGATTCACGACGAAAGGTTTGAGGGGTTTTGTTCCTTGGTTGACAACGAACACGATGGTGGTTTCGGCTCGTCGATTGGAGGTCGGACGGCGAGTAGATCGGAGTTGGAAGTTGGGTTGTTGGAGAAGGGAAATCTGGAAAATATGAAACCTGCGCATGGGGAGGAGCTTATAATTCATCATATATAAGAAATGGTTAAATAATGGGTTTAGCTACTGAATTTTCTGCACTTTATAAAATGGTCTGCCAACTTTAAAACTTTACAATTTAATCCCCAATATTTCTTTCAAAATACCAATTAAATCCACCACTTTATAATTTTTTAATTTTAGCCCCTAAATTGAGATGTTACAGTAAATTTATAATAAAAAAACTATATCCAAGTAATGTTGAATAAAATTAGTAGCATATCTAAAATTAATTTTCAGGATAGACACGTGTATATTAATAACATAATTTTTTATATGTGTAGTGAATATAAATAAAATTTCAAGGCTAGCACAATCAGAAAAAAGGTAACTACTAGGAAAAAAGTTCAAGTATCTGTTTAGAATATTCTTTAGCCATCAACAATGACCACATATCATATCAATATAATCACTCAAGCTCAAAACATCTAAGAAGAATATCACTCTTTATTTTTGATAAAAGAGTATGTATTCAAGAGTGAAACATACACGACGTATTATTATTATATTCCCCGTTAAAAACTTTCTTGACCTAATCAGAAAAAAAAGTACACGTAATTATACGAGAAGGACAAAAATAATAAAATATTTTTATCCGTCGTTAAAATCATTTCTTTTAATCATCAAAGACAATCAATATGTTCATGTTAAATATTTTTATAAATATTATACTTATAAGGGATACTTTATAAATTATTGTTTAGTTCGAGTGGATAGCAAATTGGGGATTACTAATTAATTGCATTTATTGCATGCATGTTATATAGTGGTCGTTTATTCAAAATTAATTTTAGGGTATCATAAGAAGTAAGAATTATCACTAATTAAACTTTGGACCTACCCTATACCTAATGTTTTAATTATGATAGCTTTGCATGCTTTTTCCCCCTAAAAACAAATTTAAATTATATGTTTTCTAAATAATGACAAAAGTTCAATGTTTTCTTAATTTTTGTTAATTCAATTAATCGATCAATGTTAATAGGTTAGATAAATTGAACTTTTAAAAAATTTGTAGTTACAAATAAAAATATTGGATAATAAATATAATGATTTAAAATGATTCAAAAAACAAAATTTTCATTAAAAAATAACTTTCATTGTTTATCAACTATTTTAAAACAATAAAATTTGACATTAAGAAAAAAACATGTTGTTTTTTAATGAATTTTTATTGTCAATAATTAAGAAAAATTATGAATACATATATATATTATCTTATAATCACATTAGACTATTATGAAAATAAATAAAATTATTTAAAACGTATGAGAATGAAAACACTATTCAATGGTTAAGAAAAATATGTTATTTTTAAATAGTTTTAGTTTAAAAATACCAAAAGACACAAATGTCTTTATCATTGTATAATTTTATTTTATATATGAAGTTATTTGTAATTTCTTCAATTAAGTTTGCATTATTGATCTTATATATATATATAATAATAAAATGAACCGTTGTTATTAGTTAAAACAATATACGTCAGACAGAAGAAACAATCAGGTTCAATTAACCAGTCGGTTCGATTTTTTCGTCATTGATTATCCTAAAATCCGAGTTGAATAAAAGAACAAAACAAAAGGTGAATTGATTTCATGAAAATCATGTGATGCTCGACACGTTTTGATTCCAAAAATCCCCAACGTAAACCAGAAGCAAACATGGCCTAGAAGAAATATTTTCAAGTTTAACATTTTTTAATTTAAATTCTCAACTTTCAAATTGATCGTTTTAATCACTATAATTTGTTTTATTAATACTATTTTGTAACATGATATCTTTATTATTTTATTAATATATAATTAAAATAAAAAATATAAATTTGAAAATTGTTAGATTGATTAAATTATGAGTAATTTGAAAATTAAGTAATTAAATTTAAAAAATTAAACTTCAATGATCAAAATAGGAGTGAAAGGATAGCTGAGGGACGAATTATATAATTTAACCATAAAAATGTTAAGTTGTAACTAAAATGAAAAAAAAACGTCAGGCATGGTTTTGAAAAAACTGAAAATTCAGGTACTTAAACGGGATTAAACTAAAAGTTTAGATACTAAATGTGTAATTTACCCTAAAAGTAGAGCCTAAACGAGCCGAATCTGAAACCCTACCCAGAATATTATAATTCAAACCTAAAGTTAACCAGATTATTCTCATCCAACATTTCCTTGTCCTATTCTCCATAAACCCTAAACTTAACCCACAAACATGCATGCCAGATTTAACCATTTGTTCCGTTAGGGATGGCGATGAAGTGTGGTTGAGTTGAATCATCAACTCTAATTCCGTTTTATCATTCTGTCTCGATTTTTATCGTAATCATCAACATTTTTTAAAATATTTCGTAAACTTTTTTTGTCACTGTTCTTTGAAAAATATACGGGACAAGAGGATATAGATTTTCATTAATTTATTTTTTTTTATTTCTTAATTCAATGGCATGTAATTTAAAAACTTTTTAAATAATAAAACCTAATTCACATGATGCTTTTATTTATATTTGAATAATTATCCTAAAACCTAATGATAATCCTCAAATAATAACATAATACTAGTTTTAATCAATCACGAATAAGTTTTCTTTTTGATTAAGCTAAAGGTGATTATAAAATAGTATATGTTCTAAATACTCTTAGGTTGTGTTTGTTTTTACTGTGTAAGGTCTGCAAAGCTCTTATGTTTGCGCCGCGCAGACCACGCACAGACATTGGGCTTCGCAGACCGTTTGTTTTTTAGAAGACAGAAGCTCTTCTAGCGTCTGCGCGGCGCAAACGTGGCCTTATGTCTGCAGACGTCTTCTAACCTCTTCAAAGAGGTTTTATATTTAATTTAATTTTATATTATATTTGATTTTAATTTTAATTTTAATATTAATTTTTAAATAAATTAAATATTAATTTTTTAATATTATATTATAGATATTAATTTTAATATTAATTTTTTAAATAAATTAAATAATATTTTTTAAATATTATATTATAGATGTTTAATTTTATATCATATAAATTACTTTATATATTATTAAAATTTTATATTTATTTTAATTATTTTGATTTAAGTTTAAATATAATATTTTTTTTGGATTTGTTATTTTTAAATTATATTTAAACTTTTTTATAAAAAATGTAAGTATTTAAACCACATTGTTTAATAAAAAATGATTTCATTATTTGATAATTAAGATTTTAAAATATAAAAAATTATACATTATGTTTTTAAAATTTTAAAATATAATCACAATTAAATAAAAAATAATCATAAAATAATTTGATAAATTAAAAAATATTTTCTAAAAATATCATATAATTATAAAAAGAAATTATGAATATATATTTTAAAAAATTAAAAGTATTCCATAATTACATATTTAAAAAATCATATAATTTAATGATCATTTATAAATTTTATTCTATAAAACTTATAAAACTAATAATACATGTGATTATGTGAGACTTATAATAGAATTAATAATGTGGTGTTTGTTTTTCTAAAAAAATTATTATTGTAGTTGTATGAATTATTTAAATTTCAGTATTGTAAAACTAAAATTATTTAAATCTCGGTATTGCAAAACTCTTTTAAGGTTAAAAAATCAGTTTATTTTAGTAGTCTGCAGAAGTTAAAATACAAACAGTCTTCTTCTTGCAGAATGAAGACTTTTGGTCCACCTCTTCTGTTGCAGAAGCTTGCAGATGTGGTCCACAGACTACAGACCTTTTACCTCTGCAAAAACAAACACCACCTTAATCATTTGACAATGATTGCTCAATCTCCCCTACTGCAGTTGTTGATGCTCGAACCCTTAACTTCTAGAAACAACAACAACAATTCTTCTAACTACTAAGGTAAATTGATTCGTGTATGAATAAATTTTCAAATGATCATAATTGTATCATTGAATAATAATAAAATAAATTTATATTATCGATAGTTAATGATGTAATCAATTTGGATATATAACTCAAATAAAAATAATTATTATTTTTATTTAAAACACGTAAAATTTTAAGAGGTACATATCGCGCTTAAAACGCAAAAGCTTTTTTTGTTTCATACAATAAAAATGGAAGAAACGTTAAGAAACCGTATCTTTGTTTATACATTTCCATTAATTCTATTAATCACTAATTTAATTAATTGGATTTTTCATAATTAATTTGAATTTCGAGACCAAACAAATGAATAATGGCAGATTAGATTATCCCAAACATTTAATGACAAAACAGAGGTTTGGCCAATGGCTTCAAACCCCCATATGTTACATGACATGCCCCAATTACACCCTTTTCGCCAGGAATTAGTGTGAAAGACATGGGGAAGAACAATACAAATAAATCTTCAAGAACAAGAACCAAAACCACACTGTTTCAACATACAGTTTACCGCGCCAATTATCAATCAACTCTTCACTTCAGCAATGCATGTGATTTAGAGGATCAAACAACATCTTTCGGTTTTTGCACCTAACAATGTCAAGTTAAACAACATTCATAAAAATATATAACTCAATTTCAACCTCGGAAGAGAGAAATAAACCCAGAACTATGAAGAAGATGATGAAGGTCCGGAAATAAAGCCGGTAGTTTCTTCATCATACAAATCATCAATCTTTCTCAACGAAGCATGCACCAAGGCAACAACCACACTGATAAAAACCGACACCAAGATATTGCCAGTGGCATCAGTCAACAGCAAGAACACACAGGTCAACACCCCCAGCACGACGTGCAACACACTATCGCCAATAGTGCAGTTGAAAACGACCAAGGGTTTGTCCCGTAGGAAGTACAGGAACAACCAGAGGGCCATCATGGTAATGAGGATTATGAGGGAGGTGGGGTGCCATAATAGGCCGAGGAGAAGGATGATAAACACGATCATGACATAGTTCATTCGGAAGTAAGCCACATTAGTTCTAAACCTGGAAATGGCTTCAGAGACTGATCGAGGACAGTTGATGGAGTGGATGTTGAACATGAATTTCCATGGACGTCGAGCTCCGAGGCCTTCTTTGATGCAATCTTTAGCTCGAGATAGGTATTCTAGGTTTTCCAGGGGGGTTGAGGAAGTCGGGATCGTTCCATAGGTTGTCATGGCCAAAGCAAAGACTGTTTTTGGGGAAGAAAGAGAAACGAGTTCGAGAATGTTGCGAAGGGAAATCAAGAGTAAGGGAGGAACGTGATAGTTGTTAAGCAATAAAGTATTTATGAAGGGACGATGGCTTTAAATATGATATGTATTTCAGTTACAATCTTTTATTTTTTTTAAATATACAATTTTTTAGAGATGCAGTAATTTTACTCTCGATTTTTTAATACTTATTTAAATATATATTTTTATATATTTCCTAAACTTCTCAAATCATCCAAACAACATATTGAATTAAATTAATATATTAGCAAGTACAGAAACTCGAACCTACCCACATCTTCTAAGTTATGACAATAACAACCATATTAACCGAGTTAAGAAACATACTGCCATCCCTTAGAAAAGTGGGTGAAAGAATAGTTTTAAAGGAAACAAGTTATTATCCTCAAGAAACCTAAATATAAGTGTATTCTTTTCAAAAGAAAATGAGAGGATTTTTTTTTGAAAAAGGATATATATATATATACTGTTTTAGGCATAATTCCTAACATTACACGTGGATCATGATTAAATACACAATGTCATATAATAAATTTGAGTTAATGTAAATTATACACACAAACAAATAAAATTGAAGGAGAAAAGACCACACCAAGAGGTTGTAGGGACAGCAATAGTGATGGGATTAAAAACAGAGATATTGCAGATCCTAAACAAGCAATGCAAGAGGCTACAATGATATGACTTTTGTGTATGACAGTTTGTTCTTGACAACATTACTTGTATATGTTTTTCTGTTTTGTAATTTAGAGGGATGGCGTTTCATAGAATATCAAATTATTTAGGTATACTTTTTCTATCATGCATGCAAGCTAATAATGCAGGTGAACTTGACTGATTTAAAGGGGGGGGGGGGAAGGAGAACCAAGACTTCGGTTTCTAAAAATATTTTCTCATGATAGAAGCATGCCAAGTAAAATAAAATATTCTTGAAACATGTTATCATCAACGTTGTTGCACTTTCCAGAAAAATGAAAACGAAAATGACACATGTTTCTTGAAACTAAACGGACCCTAACTTTTATCAGTATGGACCCTGTTTTTATTGATTCATTATATTAGCAAGACAAAGACATTTTACGGAAATCTTAGCTCAACTGAAACAAGCTTGTACGCAAACCTAATTGGTTGATCAATGATCATACCCAGGAATTGCAATGTCAAAATCATACCATTACTAGAGATTGCAGGAGATCTGGGAATGAGAAGGTAAAACAGAGATGGTTGATATAGTGTAGCCTACGCCTAGGATTAGGAGAATAACTTACAAACTTGATTTTCACAGGCTTGGAACTTTAGCCTAGCAGACCACATGGACTTGGCTGAAAGTCGCTTCCTAGTATGTCTAAGTTTAACTTATAAACACTTGTCTTGGGGCATAGAAGAGAGTAACGGTCTAAACGACTTGCATCACCTTTAAGATTTATGCATGAGTATCAATGAATTCACATTTGGAAAGAGGGTTGTTTTTTATTATTATTTTCTTCATGTTTTAGAAGCATATGCAACTTTACCTCATTCATCATATGACATATGTCCTCAAGCTCATTTAAGATTATTACATGCTCTGTCTTCACTGTTATGGGTGATGCATACCAGGTCCCCGATCTGCAAACAATTAAAAACAAAAAATTAGTAAGAATCTCGAATAAAAAAGAAGAAAGAATCAGCTTTAGGTGAGTGGTAAACAAACAATAACTTTATTTAACCTCCAGAATGATCCAAGGAAACTACAACTATTCATTAACTGGTATAAAAGAACTTGCAAGGAAAGCAGCAGTCCACGAATAACATCTACTACTGTCTCCACTTCTACAATTATGTAAGCAATCTTATTAACATGACATTCCTAATTAAAAATTTCAGATCAGCAACAAGTTAACTCTTCAGAACTGCTAGCATCATTTTCCATATATCTTCGGTTGCATGAAGGAAAGCCTTAAGAAGCAAATGGCAACTCTCTATAACAATGTACTCCCAACAGTCCATGCTCAAGAGCACATCTTTGTAGAACAATAGATCCTATTTTTCTTCACATTGTTAGCATGATGCAGGGAAAACATCATCCCGAAAATGAGGAAACTGTTTTTGGATGAGGTTTGCATCCAGACAACTCCACCTTTAACAGACTCCATATTTAGGATAAAACAACTACTTTCTCCCATAAATACAGTGCTCTATCTATAGAAGCAGAATGATTCAGACCTTGATGTCATTAAGAATAAAGATACCACAATATTCAGTCGGAGATAAGAGCTTTTCACTTCCTCTAACAGCCTAGCATCAAAATATATCATAGACCAAAAAAATTTAGCTTTTGCGAAAAATTCATCAATCCAACAGATTTTCTCTATCTAGTTAAAGAAGCCACTCGAGTTGTTCTTAGACATCTTTGTAGATTATTGCTTGGCCAGCTTCTTTCCACCAATATAGGGAAGAAAAACACTATCCTCTGCAGTGGCACTACTCTACACAATATATAAATTCTAAATCAACTTTAATGAATATCTTATTTGTATGAAGTATGTATTTTCAAGTGAATTGTATCAATCCAGAAGTATCCAACCAAATGGTCCAAATAGAACTAACATCTTCTATCATCCTTGAGCACTTGGAATAAAATGTTTCCACTTCCAATCCAAGATCACTAGTTCCGGCACAACCAATGGAATATTTCACCACAAACTGGTACAAACAAGTGCCTGACATGATAACTCGTTAAATTTTTGTTTCAAGACCTTATCCTCATACAAAGCCTTGGAAAATGACAAATGCATATCCACTAATATAACTATAAATTGATTTACCAGAAACCTAATTAAACCAGAGCCAGGTATGAATCTAAGGAACTCAGCAAGGATACAGGTATGAAAGATCAAGACATTCTCCAGAGCAACAGCGTTAATTGATTTAACGACCTAACAGATAGGTCTATTTATATTAAGCAGGAAATGCCAGATTAAGAGAATGAAATCAAAGATAAAGTGTCAGAGAAGTTCAACTTAAAAGGAAATTGAAGATCCATGGAACACATAAAAAGGACAGAAAACTTGCCTATGTAAGTACGATCAGTAGTCAACCTCTTCCACATGGCTTCCCATCATCTTTCAGATATCTTTCCATGTCAATGAATAACGGAACTACTTGTAACTATGTAGGGGCCGGAATACGTTGACCACTGAGTAACTTTGCAGAACAAAAACAGACAGCAGAGCTGTAGACTTAGAGCAGAACAAACTGCAGATTATTCTATGTGCAGGGAAAAACTGCAGATGATTGCTATGAGATCTAATTGAAGGATGAATTGAAAACTTCATTCGATCAAGGAGCCACGAGTTTTGTCTTAAAGCGCTGTGTGTTCTTAAAGGATGTATCCGCGGAACTGGACCATTTATGCAAGCAGATTCAATAACTGACTTGATATTCCAAAACCTAAATCCTTTTTCTATGTATACAAAATATTCCATCGCATATGCCACCTGCTGAATAAGCTTAATACTAGAACTCCCTCAGTCATAGAAAATATGATCAATCCCTATTGCTAAACTTTCTTGTAATTCTGGCAAGAGTGGGAGAAAATGTTAACAACTACTCAAGATATGTACTGCTACGGCAGACACAAATGTGTACATTTGGCTCACACTTCATAATAAGAAACAGTTCTACCAACTTCTACAAACAACAGCAAAATTAATACTTTCTCCATCCAAGATAACTCAAGTCAAAATCCACTAAAAGTCAAAGTCAATTATGGTCTAGCTCTTTAGCACATTCTCAACCAACCACAGGAATAAATGGAAACAAATACTTCAGCTCCAGTTTTCCAAGTAATATATTTCCAAATGGAAAAATAACACAGGAACTCCATTACAAGAAAGATATCGACATAGGTCCTCGGTCACACACAACATACCATTTTATATTAGTGCCTACAACATTTGTACTCCAAGTTTCAAACACACCATATAGAAATGGATACCAAAGGAAGCCTACAGTAAATTTGATACAAATGATTCTCCTCTAGATCGCCAAATACAAGAAAACATGTCCTTTAATTTTGCAGCAACCATACATCATTCACCACAACAGCAGAAATCAAGAAATAAGAGCTAATAAAAGCACGGAAAAGGGAAGCTCCTGAATGCTTTAAACAATATACTTCTAGAACATCCATTCTCACTAGCCAATTGAATGCCTATATCACTTGAGAGAAGAACCCATCCTCAAATATTTCTTTTTCAGACAAAACTCCAACTTATAACACCCTGAATTACATACCAGAACTGCACAGCTTCGAAGGAATAGCATGAAGTCAAAATTTAATTCAAATCCCCATAGTACCCATAAAGTGACTGTTAGAAGCAAGTTGAATCATATCCACCGACAGACTTCTGCTTCCCGGTCAATACTTAAAATGCATATCCACGAAGTAATAACTATCAACTTTAAAGAGAAAAATGCCCCCACTAAAAACACTAGTATTCAAGTGTCGCATGAGACGAACTAGAAAATAAAATAATCTACTAAGACATGAATTTTGTGTCCAATTGGATGTTACATTATCTTTGTGCAACAAGCAAAACTTCATTGCGGTCTTCTATGATCTACTACCCAAGATGAACGGTTCCAGGAAATTTACCGAATAGATCAAAAAGGTAGCATGTATATTAACATGTAGGTTGTAACCAAAAGCTTCATCCATGGGTCATAAATTTCAAATGGACCCAAAATAACTACCTTATTTAGGGGGCAGCATTTCTACCCAAAGTAATATTAGCTATATTCAAGCTAAACGGTTAATAAAATAAAACAAACAACAATAAAAAATGGTGATGAAGGATTGACCCAATAGAAGTTCAAATTATCATATTACGATCTAATGTATATATAAAGGGTATCACTTCCTCCACCAATGAAAAGAAAGCAACACAGAATCTTATATAAGAAGCTTAAGATGACTAACTGCATATTAAGATAAAAATTACTTATGTAGCATGCACAGATATATGATGAATTCCAAGCTGGCCAATATTTTGCACTTCAAAACAGAGTAACAATTTTGCCTTTCTAGCATCGAGCAAAAACTCTCCTAGCGACGAGCATTGTGAGGCTTCTCCCAAGTCCCAGGACGACGACCATGAAAAGGACCCTTATCAGCAGCAGCCTGTAGGGAAAAAACAAGTGGTAATTGGGGAAAAAATTCCCAACGCAATAGGTTTATGGTCAAACAAATAAAACAAACAAGAACATGAGGATAAATACCAGATGAGCCCCATATCCTTCATATGAGGCAGGAAAAGTCCCCTCTGAACTGTTGAATTTCATTCCATAAGGTCCACCTTGAGCCATCAATTATCAAGACATTGAAATTAGAAGGGAGCCAAACATAATTACAATCATTCAATTGAGCATATCAAAAGAGCAAGGCAAAAACCAGGAAACATCAATGTGGGTTCAATGGAATCCAAAAAATGCACCTGACAATTTAAACTTCAGACTTTCCACAAGAAAGTCCCAAGTTCTAACCCTCATAGTTCTAAAAAGATGAAAGAATGGGAAGGGGAATCTAACCAGCCAGCAATTTTTAAAAAAAAAATCACTCTACTCCATATAATAGAAGTAAGATGGTACCAGCAGCCCAAGGTCTACCATCCACAACGGTAAGTTCTGCACGCAGCTTTTCAACTTCACGTGCCATGGAGACCATGTTCTTCTCCATTGCTTGTCTCTGGTCCATCAGCTCGATATTTGCCTTCTTTTCATAATCAATGGCATTCCTGTAAAATAAATTTCTAATTTAGCATTTAAATATATAAATGGATATATTAGCACTGCAAGTTAAATGCTCAACAGAAACATCCATTTGTTGGATTTTCTTTAAAAAGGATGAAAAAGGATGCAGGTATCTACCTCGCATGCATCAACTCCTGGTGCAGGCCATCAATTTCTGCTCTTAAAACAGATATCCGTTGATTATCAGCTTGCAGCCTGGAAATATCTTTCTTGAGAGTCTGCACTTGGCCAGCTAGTTCCTGCTTAACATTATTCAGTTTCTGAACTTCTGCACGGAGTTGCACAGCCTCCTTCTTCAATGGCTCAGTTGCATGGAGATCTGCCTCCAGCTTCAAGCATTTGTCAATAAGTCCCCTTGAGTACAGCTCTTGTTCAGCACGAATTTCACCAATGACAAGATTCAAACGATGAATTTCATCTTTCGCAGCACCAAGCTCTTGTTGTATAGCCATTCGATCTTCTACCAGCCTGCTGTTATCACTCAAAAGCCTCCGAATTTCTGCATGCTGCATTTCTAGTTCTTCCTCCAACAATGCAGGATGAGGAGGTCGTTGTGGCAGCGGTGGACCACGGCGGAAAGGTCTTTCAGGAGGAATTCCACGCCTGTCATTTAAGGCCTCTCGAGGAATGCGGTTTCTCCCAGCCATTTTTAATTATTCTGGGAAAAGGTGACACAATAAAACAATCTTTAGTAAGCTTTTATGAATATTTGGATTATTTTTAAATCAGATTTTACGAATATGGTACCGATGAAAGAAATAGTATACACAAAGAGCATTTTCACACAAAAAGAATTACTCTAAACCTTCATGAAATTTAGGTGGTCTACTTACAAGAGGAAAATGATATATTAACCACACAGCAAGTGGCAACTATACCCAAAGATGTTCTGTAATTAATGACCAGAACAAAAGGAGCTCAACTGAGTCTGGCATGCAACTATTTAAGATAATCCAAATGAATGGTATATATGATACTAAGAAGCAGAAGCACCGAAGTCCAGATTTAAATCAATGAGTGTGGATTATCAGATATTAATTCACCTTCAAATTTCCCTTAACTACATCATTTTCAAAACTCTTGGCAGAAACTTAACAGCAAAGTCACCATTCTTTATATTGGCACCCACCAATAGCAGGGAAAACAGAAATAAAGAGCACTGAGATCCGTTAGGTTGTTCTCGTCAAATACCCATCAGCAAAACACTAGAAACCACACTCCATTTAAGCCAACTTGAAACTTCTAATCATCTATCTCCGATTGCAAAATTAAGTTCTCTTTTGGCAAGTTGTTGCGGACAAAATCTATACATAAAATTACTTTTCAATACATACACGCGCGGGCACACACGAAAACACAAACATTCATATAAATTAACAAAAACAAACAAAAAGATGCAAGGAATAAGTTATAAGATCGAAACCTAATATTTCATAAAAAAAATTAGCTAAATAACTCGAATTCTCAATGTAAGACAGTGAGAAAAGGACATTTTCCCTCGTACTTGAGCAAATTGTGTGTGGGGGGGGGGGTATATCACTTCTCTTTGCTTCAGAACCGTTTTACCTGCACAAACAAACAGAGAATTAAGCAAAAGCTAACAACCCAAAAAAAAAAAAAGAAGAAGAAACTCTGTGTTGGAAACATCCAAGTCTTAGGTTTCTGTTAATGATAAAGAAAAGAACAATAATAAAAAGAAGATGAATTGAAACCTGGGAATGATTAGGTCAGTGAGAAGGAACTTGATTGAAATATTACATATCCCTTCTTTTCGGGGAAGAAAATTTTAGACGAACAAATTAGCTTACACCCTAAAATGAAACAATTGAAGGTGCAGTCGGTCAGATCATAAAATAATTAAAAGTTTAAACAAAAATAAACCGCACCATTCTTCACTATGATACCTCATTTTAATTATTAAATTATTTAAAAATAATTAAAATATTATATATTTCGAATAAAGTTTTTATAAGATCGTCAAATAAATACTAATAATATGATAGTTGTTATCTTCTTTTAACAAATATATATGTTTAACTATATTTTATAATATTTTGATGTAATAAATTAAGTTAAAATATTTTTGGATTTAAATTGAATTTGTTCAAAATTTTCAAAAATTTTCAAAAATAATTATAAGTCCATTAAACTATAATTTGAGCTCAAAACATTTTTCTGGGTAATTAGTACAAATATTGTTTTTACAGTATCAATGTTGCATAAACAATATTAATATTGTTCATGTTGTACCGATACCAAAAGTAAGAGATACAAAAATTAGCAACTTAAAATCATATAAAGACTATAGAAGGAAAGATAAAAAAATTAACCAAAACTCGAACAAGAATAGATACAAAAACTAATAACTTAAGATCATATAGAATATTTTATGACTCTTAAATTAAAAAATATTATGATCCTTTATTAATGAAAAATAACCAGAATACTTGATTATTATAGCTTCAACTCGAATTCTAGTTAAAATTGGAAATTTTCAATATTACTTACTAATTGTTTGAATAAATTATTATAATATTTGAATTATTTAATAATTTAAATTTAACTCGATCATAATCGAGCTAATTTCAATTTTTTAATTAAACCAGAATAATTTGTAAACATAATTGTTTTGTTTATATTCGAAAAAGGTTTTTTTTTCTTTCTAAAAAATCATTATTTTAATTTGAAATAACATTTTGGTGCAGCACAAATTATAATAAGTTTAAAACGCAAATCATAAAATTTTACGAAGCAATATTGGATTTGAATTAAGTAGGATATGGATATGATATTAAGTGGAAATAGAGGCAAGTCAAATGGATGGCCAGAAAATAAAGACAAAATTAATGTACAGGCTTACATCTATGCTTGTTCTTCCTGCTAGTCTTACAAGTAAATGACAGTTGAGCCCCAAAAACCAGAGGTGGAACTCAAAACAAATTAACAGAAGTATGTCTACACGATTTAGACCCCTTTATGGAGATGTCTTTTCGTTGATTAGTTACAAGGGAGTCCGCCACCATAACCCTTACCTCGGTCTCGAAAACCACCATGACCTGTTTCACCAGATGGACAAAATGAGTATGACAAACAATGTATTAAGATCTCAGAATTCTTTACAGCATGCAATGGACATTGTTATTTATGCATAGAAGTCGAAGTAACATATCAAGCAATTCGATTGCGGCTCAGTTAGCTCCGTTTGAAATCTCTTCTATAATCACCACCCATCACAGTAAAATGTATCTCAGTTAACAATTTCTTCTATTGAAGCGATGAACCAAAGAAATAATCTCATAGCGTGTGGCAATGGGCTAGTGTTTTCTGTCACACCTTACTGAATCAAGTATCTAAACGTGCAAATGCTACTGGAACCAACTAAAATTATTCAATTTCATTGAATTTGCTTGCTCCTGCATGTTCCAAAAGAAGAGTTAACTAACCTGACGGAGGAGGAAGCGCACCACGTCCCATTGCCGCCAATTCAGGACTTACCTTTTGTCCCGCTTCATTAAGTATGGCAATAAGGTCTTTTGCAAATCTGGCATTTGCAGCTGTGAAGAAAGTGTAGGCAGTTCCTTTTGCCCCTGCCCTTCCTGTTCGACCAATGCGATGGACATAATCCTCGAGAGATCCCGGGAAGTCATAATTGATTACGTATTTCACATCTTTCACATCTGCCACCAACTAAATTTGATAAATAATCCAGATGACAAGGCCAGTCGCAAGTTAGAAATGTGTGCCCCATGGTCCCATGCTATTACATACATACCTAAGCCACGAGCCGCAACATCTGTTGCGGTCATTATAGAGCTCTTGCCAGCTTTAAACTCAGAAAGAACCCAGTCCCTTTCAGCTTGACTTTTGTCTCCATGAATTGAGAGAGCAGGCCAACCATCCATGCGAAGTTGCCTGGTGATCTGGTCACAACCTTTCTTGGTATCCATGAAAATCAAAATTCTGCTTCCATCCATGATATCCTCCAGCAACTTCACTAATCTGAAATACCAACACAGATCAATAAACATCCTTAATAGTATACTCAATGGTAAAATAATTATACGCCATACAAAGTAAACTGTTCCCTACTTGTTATATTTGACTCTCCGAAACAATGACAATATGTTGGCGAATTGCATGGTTAGCTTTTAAATCTGCAGATCCAATTATCACCTGCAAAACAGGCCGATGGAACAACAATTTTTTTTTTGATAGAAGTAGGTCTGATTAAAAACCCCCTTCTAACCCTCCATGTTATATCAATAACATGAAGGATCAAGGAAGGAGGAAAAGAGTGCCTAAAAAATTTTATTCATAAGAGCAATAGTACATAGGCAGACCAGGACAGAGTCCTAAACCTACAACTGAAGAACATAAGACTTAACTCAAAACACCTTACAACACAGGAAATAACATTTCCTACAACTCAACACAACCAATTAAAGCAAAAAATCACCCTATCCCATCTTTAGCTAATTTGTAAGCTTCCCAGTTTGCCGCCCTCAAAATATGTCTAATAATAATATCCTTTCCTGCCATAAGCGAGACCATATCCTTCACCAAGGATAGAAATATAGGGGTACATAAACCCGGATTCTTGATCCACTTCAGAGCATTAATTGAGTCATATTCCATAATTTTTTTTTTGATAAGAATAGAATGCCTCTTTAAAAACCTCCCTCTTAGTAGACCCTTGCCCATAGGCAAGAACCAACTAGCTGAAAGAGGAAAAGAGTACATAATTTTATTAAATATAAAACTTTTACATAAAACTTAAGAACTCTCCAGCCAAATACTACCGACATAAAACACTCCTGACACACTATTACTCTAAAGCATACAAACCAACTAAAACCATGACTACAATCACCCAATTCCCTCTTTCGCTAACTTGTCAGCTTCACAATTACAACTCCTAGGAATCCACCTGACAATAGAATGAATTAAAGAAACAGAAGCCACAATTTCCTTAACAAAATTAGACAGAAAAACCGGGGCAGAAACTTGATTAATGATCCAATCCACTGCTGTCTTTGAGTCACATTCTATAATAAGCCTGCCCTTCAACACCCAATCTGACGAAACAAAGATGTCAATGCCTTTTTTGATAGCTTTAAGTTCTGCTAGAATAGGTATGGTAGGTCCGACACTTTCAGAGAATGAAAGAAGAGTAACCCGATTCCAATCCCTGAGAATTCCTCCTATACCAGCCATCATCCCAACACAGCAAACAGCCCCATCCACATTCATCTTAAAATAGTCAACCGGAGGAGGATTCCAGCAGTACACAATGCTGTTCAGAACCTTAGGAGCAGAAAAATTGTTAGCCAAAGAGGGATCACCAATTAGAGAGTCTACCTGAATAGAGAATAGGGGATACTTTGCTAAAAACCATTTGGCTAACCTTAAACGAACAGTGAAAAACAGTAAAATTCTGTCTAGTTTTCCTTCTTCAAAAATTAACTCATTTCTCATTTTCCAAATTGACCAAAAAACAGCCCCTGGAATAAACTTCCAAATAGCATAATTAGGCCTCAAAGCAACCTACGAACAGAGCGGACTAGGAGGGTCTTGTGGAATAGCTAACTGAATACCCCAGTACCCTAAAAGCTTAGTCCACAAATCCCAAGAAACAAAACAAGAAATAAATAAATGCTGAACTGATTCATCCCTTTGATTACAAAAAGGGCAGAGTGTGTTTTCCCCTAAATGAACCCCTCTTTTCAACAGTTCCACTCTCACTGCAACTTTTTGGTGGGATAGTTGCCAAAGGAAAGTCTCCACTCTAGGGGGAACTAAACCCTGCCAAACACACTTATTCCATTGAAAAGAATCATCAAGAGAAGAAGAAAGAACTCTCCTAGAAGCTTTAACTGAAAACAGACCCTCACCCGAACCATCCCACAACAAACAATCCTCCAAATGCTCCAAAAGATTAATGTTTTTAAGCCTATCCAGTAACTCTGCCAACTGCTCAATCTCCCAATCACAAAGACTCCTTCTCGTCTGAATATTCCATCCCCATCCATTCGAATCAAAACTACCAAAATCCACTATAGTACCCAATTTATTTGTAGAAAGAGCAAATATCCTCGGGAAAAGCAGTTTCAAAGGGAACTCCCCAATCCATAAATCGCTCCAAAAAGAAATTGATTTGCCATTACCAATTTGAAGCTTAGCATGAGATCGGAGACAACCACCAATAGCATCATCCTTAATAAAATTATTCACAATTCCCCTCCATATCCAAGAGTCTTTTGGAGAAAGGACCTTAGAAATATCCATGGAATGACAGCTCACATCGTGTTTGCTACATAAGAAATTCTTCCACAACGAATTTTTATCATTAGCAAATTTCCATACCCACTTTCCCAGCAGCGCTCGGTTTGTTAGATTCAAATCAGCAACACCCATGCCTCCTCCACTCAACGGCCTGCAAATAGTATCCCACCTCACCCAATGCATTCTCTTCTTTTCGACCCCTCCGCCCCATAAAAAATTCGACATCAAGGAATTTAACCGATGACAGACAGTAGAGGGCATCTTAAAAATGGATAGGAAAAAAAATAGGGAGAGATGATAAAACAGACTTGATTAGCATCAATCGGCCAGCCATAGATAACGAAACAGCTTTCCAACCTGCCAACTTCTTCGAAAAACTATCAATCACCGGATCCCACAACTTCTCTGAATTCTTTGACGCCCCCAACGGAAGTCCAAGATAAACCGATGGAAATGTACCTATAGAACATCCAACCTCCCTAGCCCAATCTTCAAGGATATCATTCTCCACATTAATACCAAAAAGTTTGCTCTTAGCT